CTATGAAATGGGCTCGAAATGATGACTTCAGCCACGGCCAGCTGCGGACCGAATGTGGAGGCAATGAGTGATACCACCTTTGAGCTTTCGTTCCTAACGTCAGGGAAAACATTCTGCATATGAGAGCGTCTCGGGTACCGTGCAGGTCCATCCAAGAGGTGAAAAGTCCAGGGTGCGCGTCGGGGTCTAAGTTGTCAGTCACAAAAATCTGAGGCATCTTTATCTTTTCTGGTAACGGTTCACGTAATATGTCGAATGACATGGGTGACAACGAGTCGGTAGAAGGATCTTCTGTTCGATCGCGTGAGGCCGAAAGCATTAGTATCGTATCTTTGTTACGGGCCTCGAGATCGGCCAATCTTTTTTGTAACTTTTTCACCTCCTCTTCATCGGTCGCGTGAGACCGAAATCGTTCATCTCAAATCTTTCTAACGGGCCTCGAGATCAGCCAGTCTTTTCCATAACTTTTTCATCTCATCTTCGTCGCTCGCGCTCGACCGCCTCTTGAGTTTTTTTCTCTTAGATCGTCTCCGGTCTGATTCTTTCCCAAACGAGTAAATACAGATCAAGTCGTGTGGCGGGTCCGAGAGTTGGTAACCTACCTACTCCCATCTGTCTCTTTTCACTCCGCGTGTTCGGTCGTCTTTTCCCTTTGGTTTTCGGTGGGGTTTTCTAGAGATTTGCGAGGTTTTTATTTGCGTCCCTTGTTTTTGTTCATCGTTAAGGTCCTTTTTTCTGAGGTTTTTGATACTTGGGATGTTGATGACAAGATTTGTGTCATGAGATGTGAAATCCTTTAGCAAACTCTGTGTTTTTTAACAAAACGGTGAAGTCGGTTGTCGGCGAGTCTTATCAAATTCCTCCTTCCTTCGATGTTTCACGTCCTTCCGTGATTGGATGATGACATTGTTGCTTGTTTGTGGGATGCAATCCCTCTTTCTAGCGCCAATTGCTGTTGTATGAAAATGTCACAACAAGAAAATGAACTGTATTCTACACGGGATACTCAGTTCAACAGGTACGAACAAGGAATTTTTAATTGTAATAGATCGAATAGGAATTATGTTCGTAACTTTCGTGTATTTATTATTAACAAAGAAGAATATTCCCTCACATTAAATGTTATCTCTCCTTCATTTTGTAGGAAATATAAGGTCTTTGTTACAATCTTTCTTTAGATTTTCATTTTTAGCTTTATTTTCGAGATATTCTAAACATATTATGGTACATCATCTTTAAATGCTTAGTACTTGGATAGTTTAACCCGATACGGATGAGGACTCGAGCTTTCAACACGTGTCCTAATAAATTTATCACCTTATGATCGAGAACTCCTGCGTCCCATCGCCATCAATGGATATGGTACGAATAATCCACAAATGTGATTCGCATTAATCGGATACCCGTCCACACTTGCTCATCCGAACTGTCCGAAAGATGGTTGCCATTCGTCCCCATTTTGTTTCGTCGGACCGTTCCCTCCTTTCAATCCGTATTGGGTACAAATTTGAACAAATTACTTTTAATTCAGTATGGATTTCAACAGTTCGGTTGGCGCTCTGTACATCCTCCTTATATCTTCTCCAAAACGTTCAGAATCCTTTATGTGTAGGTCGCTCGTCCTTTATAGTCATTGTCGCATAGTCCTTGTCCTACAAGAGATAATAAATTAATTATTGTATACAATACAACTTATTATTGCAAATGGTATATATGGCTCATTTCTATAATTTAAACGGAAATGACATATAGGACTCCATGATACATACTACATACTATAGTAAATACACATCATGTACTAGGAACTAATTAATTTACGGTTAAATAAATAGAAAACTTCCATTTAATTTTATTTTGTTTTCCTAATAATAAAATTTTCTAAAAAATACTTAGGTTTTTTGGACAATGTCGAACAACTATTTATACAGTTAACAAACCTAGCAAAATAGAGGGATGATAAGAAATTCAACTAAGACATAATTTATATTAAATAAAATATTGTGAAAAAATAAAACTAATCAAGAATAATGAAATAGATTCTAGATTATGTTTCATCAGAACTTAATTCATGAACCATTCAAATGCAATCAAATTTTATGTAATTTTACCAACTGTAGAGATAATTACTTAACTGATTTAATTGTTCTATCGGACAATTTAAATCGTAGATTAGTTGTTATCTAACTCATCTCGGTCTCAAGATAAACAATCAACTCCCTGATTTTTTTAGGATTTTCGCTCTCTAGCAAGATTTTGTCAATCCCTCGTCTATTTAGCTTATTTACATTATAATTTTACAACTAATTAGCTCCTCTCGGTTTCAAATAGAACACAAATATGTATTCATAGCGCCCGTCTATTCATACAATAAAATAAGCTCAAGAAATTCATAAGATAAACCGGAATGAATCAAGTAATCCTTAAACATCACCGATTGACTGGCATCTAGTGACTGAATGCTCACTTTTTAACTAAATCATAAATCAATCAGACTACTAACAAATTCTAGAACCTAAAATAATTTAGCCAATCATGGCTTTTGAATCATAAAAATATAAGATAAAGTTGAATTAAAAAATATAAAAGATAAATGAATAAAAAGCTTATTTTGCTTCTTCCATCTCTTTCTCCTCAATTTTCTCACAGTATTTTAGTACTTTATCTGTCAAACCGGGGGCATAACGAGTGCGGTCCCACACAAGTGAAGCGCACAATAAGAGGGTTGGCCCAAATAAAGCCCAAGTGAGGTTCCATCCCAAAACCAATTGGTGATGGGAGGAGTAGCCCACTAGACTTATAAACTAGGCTCATTTACCCTATCAAATCAATGTGGGACAATCACAAGTGATATTCCCAACACGCCCCTCACTTGTGAGCCCTTCATAGCCCACGCCTTCAACTAGGCCGAGTATAATTTTTAGCCCACGCCTACAACCAGGCTGGGTAGTTTTGTTTTTTTTTTTAATTTTTTTTTATAGCAGGTCCCAAATTAGGCCCGCTCTGATACCATGTCAAACCGGGGGCATAACGAGTGCGGTCCCACACAAGTGAAGCGCACAATAAGAGGGTTAGCCCAAATGAAGCCCAAGTGAGGTTCCATCCCAAAACCAATTGGTGATGGGAGGAGTAGCCCACTAGACTTATAAACTAGGCTCATTTACCCTATCAAATCAATGTGGGACAACTCACAAGTGATATTCCCAACATTATCACGGGAGTGGAATACTATTTGGTTTGGTTGCATGCATGTTGTTTATTTGTCTGAGGGTATGTTTGGTTCAAAAGAGGGGAGGGGAGGGGAAGGGATTTAATGGAAGG